CTTTTTAGTACATTCACAGAATTGTGCAACCAACGACCACAGTTTTAAAATATTTTTCTCTAAAAAGAAACCTCATACCCTACCCACAATTTTTCTCCTAATCCCTTGATCCCTGGCAATAACTACTCTACTTTCTGTCTCTATGGGTTTGCCTATCCTAGACATTTCATAAGAACGGAACCATACAATAAGGTGGCCTTTTGTGTTTGGCTTCAGGTTCTGTCATTTAGCATATTTTTAAGGGTCATCCATGCTGCAGCATGTTTCAATACAAGCGTGACTTTGAACATATTAAATCTGAGGTGTTTTTAGGATATGCATGTGATGGTATCTGAGAGGCAGCTGAACATCTGGAGGTCTGGGAAGCAGTCAGGATGGAAGACATTAACAAAAGTGACAGTGAAATCTTGGGAAGAGGTAAGGGTAATCAAGGCATGTGGGAGGATTTAGGAAGGAGAATAACAAATATCACACCAGGAAATGCTTACATTTAAAAAGAATGTTTGGAGAAAGAGAAATCACCAAGTAAGACAGGGAGGTCAGAGGGGTAGGTAATGAAACCAGAGGCTCTAAATCATAAATGCTCAAATGCAATGATATCCTTACACTTACTCTGCACCTGGCACACTTCAGCTCAGACATTGGCAGCTATACAATAAATCCTTGTGGATTGGTCTGATCTTGGTTCCCATCATATCTTTGTACTCCAGGACTTCCACAATTTCTTTCAACTCCCCAAACCACAAATTCCAGTCTCTAACTTCCTTTCTACGTTGTCTTCATGCCCTCTCCTCTCTTTCCTTCTTTTCCATGGGCAGAGATCTGGTAGGCACTTAGCTTACAGGCATAATCTATGGTGCTTAGGCACTCTGTGCCTTCCTAACCAAAGGCACAATTGCTCAGAGTTTTTTGGAGGCAACATTCCCAGAGGTGCCTCATGAATTTTGACTAGGTTATTTGTCCTGTTCTGATGCATAATCAGATCCTCAAGAGTTTCTAAAAAGCCTTTCTGGGGTAAGCAGAAGATATTTAATGAGGGCACTTCTGAACACTAGTGGATAAAAGACAAGCCTTATTTCAGGAAGTAATAGACAACTTCCATCTTCCAATCTAAGAACAGAATACAAGAAAAAAGAAACCCAGTAAAGGGGATTCAGGTTGCCAAATGGGATTAATATGACAAGTGTGTGATGAATAAGGAATTCTTCTGCTTGGGAATCATACTACTTTGTAGGCGTCTGGGGAGCCAATGCTGCTTTAGGGAAACTACCACCATATGGGAAGTGGAAGAAGAGGAGGACATATTAGAAGAGGAGGATGTTTAGGATCCACCCCCACCTTTCCCCAAGGCTATTCTTTGTTGCACACAGGAAAAACACTGTCTGATGGCACAGAAACAAACTGTACTATGGATAAGGAATGCAAGATGTTCCAGCCATGAATGATGAGCCTAGGCATTCCAATACGGTGGGAGGGTGAGGCGTCCAGATAAGAACAATCTAAATATTCCTAGTGGACTTTGAGACATGTGTAAATGAGTAGCTTTATATCTAATTTTAGGGTATCTCAATTACTTAATCATGCATCCTTAATTAATCTAGGTGGCAGTGTAATAACTGCCAAAAAATGAACTCAACATGGCAAAAAGCCTAAGTGTCTAGAGATGCTACCCAGACTAAGAAGTCTCTCTAGGGTAGGACCTTCAAAGTTCCCTGTGATGCTAAAGCTTGGGATAAAAAGTGATGTAAATGTGAGCTGGGGGATGTAGCCCAGTGGTAGAATGCTTGCTTAGCATGGATGAGGCCCTGGTTTTGATCATTAACACCACAAAAAAGTGATATAAATGCTACCTCACACATAGTATTCCTATTTGAGCAAAAGTGTCCCTAGTTTTAAGGAAAAAAGGGAGGTAAACATTAGAGAACACCAATGATTTCAGGCCTTTGTCCCCTTCTTTAGGGCACAGGGTAAAATGCACTGGTAGGTCTAAGCCATCAGTTTATCTACATGGAATGGGTTTTCAGAGTAGCACAACACTACTGGGACAGCTTAAAGACCAAGTTAGCTTTAAATACCCTAGCTCAGACCTTGGCAGAAATAGAGCAGCTGCATTTCCTTCCCTAAAGGTTAGAAAAGCAGAGCCCAACTGTTAAGTAGGGTACTAATAGTAGGGTATCCAATTTAGTGCTGTGCTCATAGAGCTGGGTTTTATTCAAATACAAATCTATAAAAAGCATGGTTATGGCTTGCTTGCAGGCACTGACAGACTGGAAAAGCCCAGGTCAAAGTAAGCTATACTACAAGGATATGTGAAGTAGGATCCAGAAAAGTAGCCCTAAGAAAAAGAGTATTAGACACTAGAATTGTAGGAGAGCCTGATCTTTAAAAATCCAGCATGTTGGGACACTTACAAAGCAGTCGGATGTCAGTGAAAGGCAACAGGAAGGCAGGGCTATGACCCATATTGGATTTTAGCTATGATGATATAAACAGCCTAAGCCTAAAGGTTATGGCTCCCTTTAGGACACAAATTCCTCTGTCCTATGATGATGGCCTGTAGTCTGATTTTGATTTGTTGTGAAGTGGGACTGGTGGGCAATGTAGCCTGAAAGAATGTGATAGTCAGCAGGAACTGGGCAAAATGAGGCAAAGAAAGGAAGATGAACTGAAGCAAGTCCAAGGAACATAGAAACTACAGGCTAAAGCACGGCCGAGTAAACATTTAGGAGCCCTAAATTACCCACAACATAGAGGTATAAATGGAGTTAAGCTAAAACTCAAAGTTCAGCATAGAGTGAATAGAAGAGAAACAGACAACATGCACTAGAAACCCATTCTGGAAATTAAGGAGAAGACCTGACTCAACCTTACCCCTCAAGTGAAAAGCAATAACTAGCTTTCCTCAGAATAGCCAGGCTGCCACCTGTGACTGGAAACAAATGTCTAGGAAGATCTGCTCCAAAGAAACCTGCCCCACAGGGCAAGAAGAAAAGCAGCATCTCTACCCAAGCCCTGGCACAGCCTGACAGAAGAAATGACTCCAATATCATTCATGTTTTTTAAAAAAATAGGTAGTTTCTACTGGTCCATCTTTTGAAAATTTAACTTTTACTAAAATAATTTAAGCAAGCTCAGTGTAAAGGGGTCAGGCATGGTGTGCATGCCTGTAATCCCAGTGGCTAGGGAGGATGAGATAGAAGGATGGAAAGTTCAAAGCCAGCCTCAGCAAAACGGAGGTGCTAAGCAACTCAGTGAGACCCTGGCTCTAATAAAATACATAAAAGGGCTGGGGTGTGGTTCAGGGGTCGAATGCCCCTGAGTTCAATCCCCAGTACCAAAAAAACAAAACAAAGCAAAAAAAGCCCAAAACAAAATACTGCAGTTGGGCTATTTGATAGCAAAGCTAGAAATATACACATTTCTCAGAAGACATTGGCCTAAAATTACGAATAAAAATGAATCAAAAAGATTGACAAGCATGCCTCTCTTGACTGATTTAATACTATTGTTCTCATTTAAAATATAATTATGTGGAAGTTAATCTTATATATATTTATGCTACATTTTCAAATCCTAACATGGTTAATTTAAATAAAATCAATCTGCAGCTAAGAATATGCAATTCAAATTACTAAGTAAAGAAGCTTTTTATTAGAGTTAAGGTAGCATGATGGGGGGCTGGGTTGTAGCTCAGTGGTTGAGTACTTGCCCCTCATGCATGAGGCACTGGGTTTGATTCTCAGCACTACATTAAAAAAGTTAGCATGATGGGATCAACCTTAATTTCCATCAATGATGAATGGATAAATAAAATATATTATACTTATAATGTGGATGAACCTGAAGGACATTATGTTATGTGAAATAAGCCAGGCACAGAAAAGCAAATATATGAGTTAATCTTTATATGAAATATAAAAAAGTTCAACTCCTAGAAGTAGAGAGTAGAATGGTAGTTACCAGGGCCTGGGGGGAGAGTGGTGGGAGGTTAGGGAAATATTGGTCAAAGCACACAAAATTTTAATTAGAAGGAGTAAGTTTAAGAGATCTATTGTAGCCAGGCGCAGTGGTGCAAGCCTATAATTCTAGCCACACAGAAGGATGAGGCAGAAGGATCAAAAGTTTGAGACTAACCCCAGCAACTTAGCAAGACACTGCCTCCAAATAGCAGAGTGTGTGTGGGGGGGGAGAGATACATCTATTGCACATGACTACAGATAATAACAATATATCATATACCTATAATTTGCCATGCCACAATGTGTGTGGATATGTGTGTGTGTATATATATATATATATATATATATATATATATATATATATATATATATCTTATATATATATATATATATATACACACACACACACATAAACATTGTGTTGTACACCACAAATACATATAATTTGTACTTGTCAATTAAAAACACATTTTGAAAAACAGCATGTAGTGGTAATGGTTGTATAGCACTGTGAATGTAATTAATGCCACTGAATTGCATATTAAAAATCATTAAAATGGAAACTTTTACAATATACATATTTTACCACAATTTAAAAAAATATATGAGTGGGGGTAAAAATACAAATTAGTACATTTTGAAATTATATACCTTTGTATACAGTTTGCTCAATATTTTTTGGCATTCATATCATTTACATTATACAAGACTAAAATATATTAATTAAAAGCCTTTACTGAAATTACCATTTCAAAGATTAACTATACAACAGAAATCCTAAAGTGAAAAGTTCAAACAGTTGGCATATTCAAAATATTTCAAGTATAATAGCTAAAAGCATTTTAAGGTTAAACAGTCTCACAACTCTATTAGCATTACTCCTTGAGGTTTTTATTCAACTATCATGTAATAACATCTTAGAAATCTAGGTTGATTCTTTAATCAAAACTAAATGAAAAAATCTCATTTTTCTAATGAACATAGATGATTCAGGAGTTCAAAAGTCACTCAACATTTTTAAATGATCATCATCCAACTAACCTTTTTTTTCCTCAGTAATCTGTCTCTGAATTTATTAGTGATAAATCCCCTTGGACCAGCAAACCGCAAACGCTGATATTTAGCCTGAATGTATAAGCTCTTCTGTACCAGGTCTGATTTATATGGGGGATGGAGTCTACCACCTCTAAAGTTGCTCTGCAAAGGGAAAAAATAATTAAGCATTAAAACTATAGTTCCCAAGTCTACAGGTAGTTAAATGTCTGGTATTTAGAGCTGCCCTTGATTCTAGGCATTATAGATAGTAGAGGGAAGGGGTTTATGATAGCCAAGTACATTTCCCTCAAACTAGCTTACTAGTTTATTTTATACAATATTTTCTTGAAAAAATTCTTTGTTTTACATAAAAACAATTTTTAAAACTGTTACATAAAAGATTTTGAAATGACTGGGCATGGTGGTGCATGCCTGTAATCCTAGAGATTCAGGAGGCTGAGGCAGGAGGATCACAAGGTCCAAGACAGCCTTGGCAACTCAGTGAGACCCCTGTTTCAAAATTTAAAAAATGAGAAGGGCTGGAGATGCAGTTTTGTGGTAGAGCACCCCGGGTTCAATCCCCAGTGCCATACACACACACACCAAAAAAAAAAAAAAAAAAAAAAAGAATAAGAAATTTGAAATGAATTCTTGAACTTCATCATGCTAAAAAAAATACAATTTTCCAAAACCTTCAAAGAGCTAAAATTATTCTGATTCACAGTGACTATATCAAATACCAGTGAGGGGGGTAAAGACATTAAGAATCAATATATAAGAATCAAAAACTTTTAACTTTATTCCTATTGAAACCTTCAAACCCATCTTTCTTTATCACATAAAAAAACCTCATTATATCAAATATGGGTTGTAAAGAGTGATTCCTAGCTTTGCATACTGTCTGGTATTATAATAGACATAAGAGGACAATGAATGTTTGTATGTTCCTAAATGGTATAAGAGGAATTAGTATCATAAATTAGTGCTAGGGGAGTTTGGTTACTCACCAACCTGTCCTCTCCAAACCTTCCAAAACAATTCTCTAAATCTCCTTTCCTCACTCCCCCTACCATGTACTCTTTGTGGCCACCTGCATTTCCAGCATCCTCCTAGAATAATCTAAAACAGAAAGGAGAAGTGGCCCAACTGTTTATCTCTGCCTAAGTCTTAAAATCTTGACTACTTGCTAACTCACTGGAAGAGGCTGCATTAAGTAAGCTCTTGACTATAAAAAGGATTTCTCCCTCAAATTATCCAACTACAATTCTCCTGCAAAAAAATATATGTGTAGGCCCAGGGTTGGAACTCAGTGGTAGAGTGCTTACCTGTTGTGCATGAAGCCCTGAGTTTGATCCCCAGCACTGGAAAAAATGTTTAAATTAAAGAATAAATGTGAAGCCATATGAAGCAAAACTCTAGGCACACTTTAAAATGTAATAGAACAAGTTTAGCACAAACTGAATATTTGGAGGCCTAATTCCAGGGAGTCAGGAGAAAATATTGTAGAAAGTTAAGACTTTGGTGACCCAACATGCTCTCTCAGGCAAAGTTAACTATAACATTGTTCTGAATTTACTTAACAAAACCCATACCTAATACTTCATGCAAGGGAAAGACTAAACAGACCACACCCTTTTTTCTGTAGGCATTGACAATTTAGTGGAGTATTTGACAGGCAGCTAGTCTTACTGATTTTGCCAACAGGAGTCTATGGATATACAAGACAAGGGCTATCCAAACTTGAAGAACATAAAACAGCATTCAGCTCTACTGGCATAAACAGAAAGTTATATTCTTCCATCTCTCCTTACCACTCAAGAGTTAAGGATTCAACCAGTGTTCACTTATTGAGCAGAGACAAAGGTCAGAATAAAAGTGGCAGACTCTCAACTTCAAAATAGCAGCACTGCATACAAATTCATTTCCCAAATTTTTTAAAGTAAAATCAGAACTCTACTCAGAAGATTAGTGTTTATCAGTATTTATTAGTATTATTTTCTGCTAATTTGCTTTCATTTTCTCAATTTCTCAAGCAAATGTTCACAGGAAACAGGAAATCCCAGCTGGGCACAGTGGAGCATGCCTGTGATCCCAACGGCTTGGGAGGCTGAGGCAGGAGGATTGCAAGTTGAAAGCCAGCCTCAGCCACTTAGTGAGGCTCTAGGTAACTCAGTGAGACCCTGTCTCTAAAATAAAATATAAAAAGGGGCTGGGGGGTGCTGGGGTTGTGGCTCAGTAGTAGCGCACCTGTCTGGCATGTGTAAGGCACTGGATATGATCCTGAGCACCACATAAAAAATAAAGAAAGAAAATAAAATTATTATGTCCATCTACAACAACAACAAAATTAAAAAGGCACGGGGTAGTGGGGCTGGGGATGTGGCTCAATGGTTAAGTGCCCCTGGTTCAATCCCTGGTTAAAAAAAAAAGAAAATCCCAGCCATTCAAAAGGCTAGGGCAAGAGGATCACTAGAGCCCAGGAGCTGGAGATTCAACACAGCAAGGCCCCATTTCAAAACAAAACAAAAACATAAAAGGGAAACACAATCTAGTTATATGTAAACATTTGATGACAAAGTCGAATAGAAAGAGTTTTGTCTTTAAATCAAATTCTTTCTTTTTTTTTCTTAATTTAAAACACCCTGAGTCACATTTCAACTATTACATGACCAGGGTCCCAGTCAATAGTGGCCTCTTTTGTAATGCCTGGAGGAAGAGTTTACTATTGGTAATCCACTAAGACTTAAAACAAGCTAAAATTATAAAAAAACAAATAGGGGCACATTTGCTTTGCAGAAAATTAAGCTCTGTGAGGGGTGAAGATCAATCTTCTATGGCTTCTTCAGGCTGGGAAGATTAAGGGATCAAAATTTTGGGGGGTAGAAATGAGATAGGGATTTAGGATAAGGAGAAACAGAATCTTAAGGCAAACACCCTTAAGCCACTGAAATGAAGAAATCAAGCCACTGAGATGCAGAAAACACAGTTGCAAACCTTGGCCCACACCCTTGAAAAAGGAGGGAAACCCACAAGTGCAGGAAAGCTGGCAAGAAAATTGTGCAGCTCCATCCTGAATCCACCTCTCGTCCAGGCCCTGATATAGCCCTTCTATAAATATGGACCCCCAGCCCAAGTCAGGGCTGCTTCGCACCGTCTAGACAGCCTACAATTCTCTCTTATCCATCTTCCTAAATAAACCTGTACATGCCTTAAAAAAAAAAAAGAAAGTTAAGGTCTGAATAAGCCTGCATATTCCTAAATAGATAGCAAAGAGATGATTCCTTCAACATGAAGCACTAACCAATAGTAACTCTTAAATAAATATAAGATTAAACATACCATGAGCCATTAAAGAAATCAATATTATTGTTCACTATACTATAATCACTGCATTAAATGAAAAGACTCTTTAAACGCTATCCTCTGACAACAAAATTAAGCAGCAACTAAGGCAATGCCAGGAAAAAAAATATATTGGGGCTTAGTCATGTGAGTTGCCATTGCTGGAGCTGCTGTGCTTAAAAAAAAAAAAGGATCACATATGTATATATCTTTTGGTGGTACTGGCGATTGAACCCAGGGCCTCACATGTGCTGTGCAAGGCAAGCACTCTACTCCAGTATCAAAATATAAAAAAAAATAAATAAAAAGTAACTAAAGGGGAGAGAGATACTTGTGAGGCTATGAAAGGGGAGCATTGGTTATAAGACCTTCAACATTAAAAAGATCAAGCTTGTTCTTTAGCGAAAGCCATATGATGTGTTATACTGAATTACAGCTTTACAATTATGGCCTGAATAATATTTAGGCATGTATACAGAATAAGTAGAATGTTTAGGTTCTATAATAATTTTCAAAGACTTGGTCACTAGGAATGGATTTTAATCTTTTTAAAATTTGGATTTTAGTTTATTTAAGTTCCATCCTCAGAGTACTTAGCAAAAGGTAAAAGATAATGGGAATTATTGGTAAAACAAATGTATAGATGCTGTATTATAGCAGAGTAATTAAAAGAATTAAGTAGATTCCTCATTTTACTCTTTTAGAAATGGGGATATCATACATGATGAAGCACAAAAATTATTTATTCTATGCTCATTTTCCAATTATTAAGGTTAGAGGAAATTTCAGATGAAAGAGAATCATAATAAGACACTATAATTTCATTGACTATATGCACAAACTTGATATATCAGAGCTAATCCTGAGATTTACATGGTCCATTTTTGCTTACTATATCTTTGAATTAGTCTAATTCATGTAGAAAGTAAATTTTTTTTTAAAAAAGAGAGAGTGAGAGAGAATTTTAATATTTATTTTTTAGTTTTCGGCAGACACAACATCTTTGTATGTGGTGCTGAGGATCGAACCCGGGCCGCACGCATGCCAGGCGAGCGCGCTACCGCTTGAGCCACATCCCCAGCCCCAGAAAGCAAATTTTAACAATTTTTTTTCTTTTTTGTGGCACTGGAGATTGAACCCAGATGTGCCATACAATTGAGCTATATCTCAGACCTTTTTAATTCTGAGTCAGGGCCTTGCTAAATTACCCAGACTGACCTCAACCTTGTGGTCCTCCTGCTTCAGCCTCCTGCGTAGCTGGGATTATGGGCATGAGCCACTTAGCCTGGCTAATATTTTTTTTGGGAAGGATTATCTGCTCACACTATACACTATATTACTGTGAAAAAATTATGAACTTCTAAGTAATCATAACATTACAAAACTTTAAATGATTGGTCAAGAGAAAAGATTATTGCATAAATTTTGAAAAATATCTAACAATGCTAAAGAATCTTCCCTTAAATAAAAGGGTAAGAGGAAATAAGTCTTGTGATGATCTTACAAAAATACAACAATCAACTAGATCTGAGTAATGAGAAGAGCAATATGTAGAAGCACTGAGATCTGCAAATCCATCTACACTGCCTCTAGGTGATGCAGACATCACAATTTCAGTTGATCTGATGCCTCATTACTCAAGAGATTAACAGATGGTATAAAACATGTTTATACCTCTATGGCTGTAGCTATTATTGAAAACCCAACGTCATTCATGTTTTATATAAAGCACTGGATAAAAATATAGTCTATGTAATGCCTACAAATTATGCTATTCCTAGTAGAAAAAAATGCTTTTAACATCTAGAAACTTTGTCAAGAAGCCAAGTATTTACAGAAGATCACTCAACTACCCTCCTAAGTCTATGGTTTTGGGATAGTTGGTACTACACCTTTTTGCTCAATACTAATTTGCCCCTAATCAGCTAAGCACTTTATCAAGCCTGCCTGGGACTTTCACACACACACACACACACACACACACACACACACACACACAAAAGCTTTAATTCTTTCCTTCTTCCTTTTTTTTGTGTGTGTGGGAGAAGACAACACAGAATGAAAAATATGAACAAAGTACCTGTCATAAACAAGAAATTTAGACAAAATGGATTTTAAAAGCACAGCTTTTGAGAGCAAGGAGAGAAATACAACACCTGGACAATTGCTTTTATTCCATTTGTTTGGGGGATGAGGTGTTTTAGGTAATCAAACATGTTGGCTAATTAAAAATTATCATTTATATTAGCTATAGAAATAATTAAAATGTGATAAAATATACTTTAACAAAGTTGTCTGGACCAGAATCTTTCTCTGATGAACCAGAAGTCCTCTCTGATGGTTGTGTGCCTATCTATGGGCAGGATTTTTCCATTGGTGATTCCTGGAGAAGCATGAGAGCTCTGTACTTAACACCTTAGAGATTTAAGGATAGGCTTAATAGGAGAGTCTGGGACTTTGCCTGTCTCCCCATCTTGTGTCACTCCACCTATATCTGTCTTGTGCATGTGTATTTTCAAGTAATATTTGAAGAAAGGGTTTCACTAGTTAAATAAAAATTAAAATCAAGTCCTGAGGAAGGGGTGATTAATAAACTAATTATAGTCAACTGTAAATACTAGAAATAAGCATATAAACCAGAAACATTAGTTTATAGCTACTATTTGAAACAATACCTCAAAATAGCTTTTAATTATACTTAGAATATTATGTTCAAAGCATAAGCCCAAAGCTAGAATTAAATGGAAAACAACACTCAATACCTTGAAAGGTCTTTTAAAGCCTCTTGTATTTTGATGGTTTCCCTCAACTCCAAATGGTTTTTGAGTAACAATATCCTTTCTCCGCATAGCATAATTCTGCATGAAAAAGTATTAGTATGGGTTAATATGCTTAAAGACTGATTTTAAAAACTAGTTTCACCATGTAAAAGATACATGTTTAAATATACAGGATTAAGAACTCAAGGCAGCCAGGGGTGGTGGCTCCCACCTGTAATCCCAGCAATTTGGGAGGCTGAGGAAGGAGGATTGCAAGTCCAAAGCTAGACTTGGCAACTTAAGGGGACCCTGTCTCAAAAAATAAAAAGGACTAGGGATGTTGCTCAGTGGTAGAGCACCCCTGAGTTCAAACACCAGTACCACAAAACAAAAGCAACCAAAGTTGGGACCATGGAGCCTAGCTGTGGGAACACATTTCTCCTTCTTTGACATGACCCACACTAGTTGGTGAGGGGCCAGTTGAATCCATGCCTGTGATGAGTGTCAAAAAACAAACAGAAGGGCTGAGGTTGTGGCTCAGTGGTAGAGCACTTGCCTAGCATGTGAGAGGCCCTGGATTTGAACCTCAGCACCATGCAAAAATAAATAAAATAAAGGTATTGTGTCCAAAATCAATATTAAAAAAAAACCCAGAAAAATCCCTACTCTTATTTAATGCAATGGGTGACTTTTAAAAAATGGACTATGAATCTAGCATTTATTTATACAGGCCTCCAGGATAGGGAGATAAACTTATTACTATCAGGAGTTGCTAAAGGATTCCTACTCGTTAAGAATACAAATCCCCAATACTGCAGGAGGCAGGTTTGACTGACTCAAATAACTGATTTGAGGTGATGTTCCTGCCATGGCTTGGAAAGTACCAGAAATAAGAGAAACAACTACATTAGTAAATCTGTAACCACAAAGAACTTGAATCCTCTGACAGGAATAAAAAAAAGAAAAAAAAAGGTAGAGCCCATTCTCAAGACAGTTTCTTATTTCTAAAATCAACAATCTTACAACCTTCTATATGCTCCATTTTCTGTGGAGTTTGATCAGAGGGAGGATTGCAGGCAGCTGCTGACATGACTCCTGATGATCCCCACTAATGATCCTCCCTTTGAGTGTGGATAGGACCTAGTAACTTGCTTCTTGCAATTACAATATGATACAGTAATGGGATGTTACTTCTGAAATTAGGTTACAGACTCAGATTCTGGCTTCCATCTTTCCAGTCATTTCTTATGGAAGGTAGTCAGCTGACATTCTGTAAGCTGCCCTATAAAAAGGCAAATCTTTAAAACAGAAAGTAGATTAGTGGTTGGCTGGGGTGAAAACAGGGGGTAACTAACAGGCATGTAGGCTCTTATTGGGTAGTGAAAATATCCTAAAACTAGATTGTTGTGATAGTGATACATCATCACAAATTTACTAAAAAAAAATCACTAACTTTTACACCTAAAATGAGTGAATTTTACAGTATGTAAATTATATTTTAATGAAATTGTTCCCCCAAAATTCTTTAGTATTATAATAAATCCAGAGATTAATATTTCTTTTGTCACAATAACTGTAAACCTCAAATGAATCTTCTAACACATACTTAATGCACAGTTATAGGCATTTTGAGAATATATAGTTGAGGAGAATGTACAAAAAAATGAAAATTCCGGAACTCCAATCTTACTATGTAAGGTTTCTGAATAAATTTTCTAAAATTTGATTTTACAAAATGTGTAGGTTTTTGGAATCCATCAGCATGAATATTCTTCACCTTTGAAAAACTCGAACGTTGATCATTCCTAATAAAATGAAAGAGAGAAAACAAGAATCTTTTATTAGTTTACTTTTATCCAACAAATAAACAAAAAAAATTAAAAAGCCCCTTTAGAGACAATTAAAGTAACACAACAGTAAAACTCAATGATCTTTCACTACTAAAGTTACAAACATTAGTTTTTAGGGCTAACACCCTCATTTAAAAAAAAAAAAAAACATTATTTAGTTAAGTTGGCAGTAATCAATAGGAGGGGGAAATAATATTCCTTGTATTAGTGTTCCCAATCTGAGGTTCAAGGACAGGCTTCCTGGAGGCTATAACTCATGTGAAATGTGTGTTTTCAGAGGAAAGACTGTCGCTGCTCTAGAATTTGGCAGCACTGCCCCCCACCCTGTCCTTACTGACAGACTCCCCTTTGTAAAAGCACTAATGACTTGGCCTATTCATCAGAGGTAAGGTATGAGACTGGCCCAGGGTCACCTCACTCTGATACTGCTAGGCCATGGATATTGCTAGGCCAGGGCATTAAAAGGAAGCCTTCCTTCTCTTGATATTGAGAGGTCCTGAGGCCACCAAGTGCTTTTTCCAGGGAGCCCTATCATGGAGGGAGGTCCTTCTTTGGGCTTTTCCTCTGATCCTGGACGCCTCACTTCCACAGCCCTTAGGGAATCCTCTTCCTACATCTTCTGCAGGCCTTGCTCCATGGTAAACCAGAACCTCAGCCCTACTTCAGTACCTCCATACATTCCCCACTGACATCAGGATGAAATCCATACTCCTCATCAGGACCTACAAGGTCCTCCAGGCTCTGGCCCTTGCTGCATTGCCATCTGCCTTACTCTAGTCTCCCCAACACACACACACTGAGCTTCCAGGACATTTAACTTTATGTGGTTCCCAGAACACTCCAATCTCTCCTGTTTCCACACCTCTGCACCTGTAGTTCCTTCTGTGATCATTTCCTTCCACTTAGATGAAATTTAGCTCCATTTGTACCTCTTCCAAGGAAGGGTTTCCTAAACCCCTCTCTGGTAAACTAAGTACCGAAAAATGCCACATGCACAAAATGTATTTGGGGTGATAACACCTATCTCTTCATGTTTGTAACTACTGGTGCACCTGTGTGTTTAATGGAACAAGCTGCAATTCCTTCAGAGAAGGTAGTTAAGTGGATGGTTCATTTTGTGGCCCCAGCTCTGACCCCCAAACCTGACAAGAAGAAGACACTCAGAGTCTTTTAAAATGTAAAAAATCAAAACAACAACAAAAAACCCAAAACAAACAAAAAAAAACAAAAAAACCCCCATGTCCTGTTAAAATACTCATGATAAGAGAGTAAGTCAAAATAGTAGGGTGCTAAATTATATACTGAGTATAATTTCAGTTATTTTAAATACATACATATATGCTGAGAAAAAAAATGATAGGAAATGTGCTAAATATTAACAGTGGTCATCTCTAACTGGTGAAATTAAAACTGCCTTATATTTCTATACTTAATTATATTTTTTCCCAAATGATTATCATTAGCATATATGACTATGTCTATAAGGAAATGGGCTTTTAAAAACTCTCTTTGCAAGGCACATATTGGAAAAAGGAGTACAGGTTGAGCATCCCTAATCTGAAAATCCCAAATCAGAAATGCTCCAAAATTTGAAACTTTTTGAACACCAACATGATACCACAAATGGAAAACCCCACATCTGACCTCATGTGATTAAAGACACTGTATAGATTAACTTAAGGCTATATGTGTAAGGCATATAGGAAACATAAATATATTTCATGTTTAGACTGGGTCCCATCACCAAGATATTTCATTATGACGATATTCCAAAAAAAAAAAAAATCCTAAAGCTGAACCACTTCTGGCGTAAGCATTTCAGATAAGGGACACTCAACCTGCAGTATCTAGAATAGATAAAGAACTCTCATACCTCAATAATAAAAGACAATAACCTGATTTAAAAATGGGCAAGGAATTTGAACAGAAATTCCTTCAGGTAAGACATACAAATGGCCAATAAATATATGAAAAGATGCTCAACATCATTAGTCATGGAGGAAATGCAAATTAAAACCATAATGAAATACTACTTTATACCCACTAGGATGGCTATAATCAAAAACACAATGAAATACTACTTTATACCCAGTAGGATGGCTATAAAAAAAAAGACAACACCAATATTGGTTAACAGCGCTACTTAAAATAGTCAAAAGGTGGAAACAACACGAATGTCCATAAACAGAAGAACAGATAAACAAAAAGTGGTATATCCAAACAACAGAATATTATTCAGCTTTAAAAAGCAATGGAATTTTCTGAAAAGGGAAGGAAATTTTGACATGATACAATACGGATGAACCTTGAATACATGATACTAAGAAGCCAGACAAAAAAGACAATTTGTATGATTCTACTTGTATGCGGTTATCTAGAATAGGCAAATTCATAGAGATAGTAAGAAAGAAGGTTATCAAGGACTGGAGGGGAGGAAGGAATGGGGAGTTATTGTTTAATGGTACAGAGTTTGTTTCTAAAGATAAAAATGTTCTGTAAATGGATAACAGTGATGGTTCCATAACACTACAGTTATACTTAATGCCAATTAACTGTACACTTAAAACAATTAAAATGGTAAATTTATATTTTGCCACAATAAAAAAACTGAAAAACGATTCATTGATAAATTTTGATTCTTAAGCAGGCAAATGAACACCCAGATTAAAGATCTATTTCCCATCCTCCCTACAACTAGACATGGACATGGGACTAAATTTTTAGGCCAACAGTGTTAAAAGTGTCATGTGTAAATTTCAGGGAAAGACTAGGATGAGGACATGATGGCTAGAGCACAACCAACCACCTTGGGACACGAGGCACATGCTGTGTGCAAAGGTTAGAGGAGGAGCAAGGTCTAAGGAGCCTGGTTCTTTGATGAGTCCCATCTACTATGCCACCTTGTCATGCAGATTTCCTACCTCCAATCTTTTATTTTATTTTTTTTTACTTGAGACTTTTTTTCTGTAGTTTGTATAATCCATTCTCTACCTAAAAACAACAGTGATCCTTTTAAAATTTAAGTGCAATTATATCTCTTCTCTGGTTAAAACCCTAAATGTTTTCTAATTTTACTAAGAGTAAAAAAGAGTCTTCCATCTTTTTCAGTCCTTCAAAGTCCTTCACGCTTTGACTTTCTCTTCCTTTTCTCATTTTATAACTCACCAGCTCCCTTTCTAGTTCTTAAGCAAGAGCAACCATATTCCTGCCTCAAGGTCTTTGAATTTACTGTTTCCTCTCTTGAAATACTACCCCCGCCAGGTAATCCTATGGCCAAATACATCCCAGCTAAATTTTTAAAATCATATCACACATCATTCTTTTCTATTTTCCTCTTCTGCCTTATTTTTCATCTATTACTTCACTAACATGTATTTATTTGCTTATTTTCTTTCTTCCACCATTAAATTCCAAATGCCACAAAGGCAAGGGCTTTATACTTTTATCACTGTATCCCTAGTGCTTAAACAGTAACTGTAGAACAGAAGAAATATTTGTTGAACATATGAATAAAAGATTCGCACGAAGTTCACTCTAGTTTAGTATAGATTATTACAATAGCAAGAATAAAAACTGATGTTTTCCTATAAGCTGACTAGCTAAAAAGGAAGTCTTGACAGTTTGATGTCCTTTTGAAGTACACTGACATTATTTTTAAGCACACATAGCCCAAACTTATATAACACATCTTAATTACATTGTGGGGAACTTAGTAACTCTGATAAGAGGGAGAAATAGTGTGTCAGAAGCCATGGAGACTTCAGGGTAGAGACTGACCAGAAGGGAGAACAATGGAGAATACCAGGGTTTTGGAAATTAGATGAAATCCCTGAGAATCAGGTTTGCTGGTGAAGTTTCCTAAGGTATCAGAGAACAGGAATCCAGGTAGATAGGCATTCTAATTTAAGTATTTTTGGCCCTGTCTGCTGCTTTGGAAAGTCTTCATTCATTAAACAAATATGAACTTAGCTCAAGGCAATGGGGATACAATGGTGAGCAAATAGACACAGAGCCTGCATACAATGTTTTTTGTGGTACAGAGGATTGAACCCAGGAGCACTCTACCTCTGAGCTACAGTTCCAGCCCTTTAATTTTTTTTTTTTTTTTAATTTTTGAGACAGGGTCTCACTAAGTTCCCAGGCTGGTCTCAAACTTACGATCCTCCTGCCTCAGCCTCCCAAGTTTCTGGAATTACAAACATGTGCCACAATGCCCAGTGAACCTGCATACAACTTTTTAAGGAAAAATCACACAGGTGGGAAATCACTTCCTCCTATGATTTATGATTTTATTATGTTTCATTCTTCTGAATGTCTATGGAAACTATATACTGACTTGATTAAAAAGGATTATGTAAAAACACAATGAGATCAATTTTTATAAACTGAATTTCTAAGATATAAAGATGAAGTGTCTTTTATTTTAATAAGGAAATTGAATTAGGACAAAGAGATAAACGGTTCTATATATAAGAGGTTCTATATCATTTTTGAAAAAAAGACAGTAACAATCTTATCCATACTGGCAATGATGTGGAGAAATTGCTGTGGAATGTAAAATGATACAGTCAATTTGGAAAACTATCTGGAAGTTCCTCAAAAAGTTAAATATAGAGTCACCACCCAATTAATCAATTCTACTTGTAGGTATCAAACAAAGAGAAATGAAACAAATTACACAAAAATGTTCATAGCACCATTATTCACAACAGCCCCAAAGTGGAAACAATCCAAATATCCACCAACTGATGAATGGATAAACAACATATGGCACATCAATACAATGGAATATTATTCAGCCATAAAAAGCATCCTCATGCTACAACACTGGATCAACACTGAAAACATTATGCTACACAAAAGAATCAGTCACAAAAGCCATACACAATATGATGCATTTATATGAAATGTTAAGAATAAGCAAATCCGTAGAGACAGAAAGTAGAAGAGTGGTTGCCAGCGGTTGGGGGAAGGAGAAATGGGGTACAGTGTTTCCTTCTGAGCTGATAAAATGTTTTGGAATTAAATAATACTAAAAATTACTGAATTGTTTACTTCTAATGGGGAATTTTATGGTACGTAATATCTCGATTTTTAAAAACCCTCATGGCTCTATATTCCATACCAACTATCCAGTAGGAATTAAATAATCCTGGGGCTGGGGATATAGCTCAGTTAGAGTGCTTGCCTTGCATGCACAAGGCCCTGGGTTTGATCCCCAGCACCAAAACAAAACAAAAAAACATAAAATAATCCAACACACCCAGCAAAAGATACCTTGTAGGAAGACATCTTTGCATGCCTCAACACTATTTTCAAAGCTGACACTGATAAATTTTATGTTAACTTTATACACATCACTTTACTTAATTTTAACTACCACTACAAGGTAAGTATAAATCTTATCCCTATTTTACACTTGAGGAAACAGAGACTATGTAACTTGCCAAAAGTCAATTACATAGCTAGGGGTCTAAGAGCAGGAATACGAACTCGGGTCTAACTTCAGTACTCAAGTTCTAATCATTTCAAAGGGTAAAGCTATATCCTGAAGCACTACACAGTCTGTACAATATGCTGATTATCTTAAATCTGCTTGAAAAATTCTATTTCTTGGTACACTGGGTTTCTTAAGTTTGCTGTCTCAAGAAAAATGTGACAGTTTGTGACATTAAAGGGCCCAGTCATGTAATGCACTAATCATATCATATTAGGAGACTGGTGATTTTCACCCAGCAAAGGAAAAGATTTTTACTATTTTACTTTCATGTTTTTCATATACCACAACACACAGTTTGATTATCTTTCAATTAGTTCCAAACTTATTGTTAGAATCAAATCCAGTTTTAAACAAGCTCCATCTATTTCAACTAAGACTTAGTTAGGCATAGACTTGACTTAAAAGTCTAGTCAAATATTTCAGTAATTTGATACTATGGACTATATAAAAAACTATTAGCACTATCCCTACTTTCTGGGAGATCTACTGATGAGTCGTTGCCATGCATGGCATCAGTTCTTTAAGTATGCCAGTCATTTAATATGCATAGCATAATAAGTTGGTTTTATCATAATTTTTTTTTTTTTTTGTTCTGGGAATTGAACTCAGGGGCACTCAACCACTGAGCCATATCCCCAGCCCTATTTTGTATTTTATTTAGAGACAGGGTCTCAACTCAGTTGCTTAGCACCTCACTTTTGCTGAGGCTGGCTTTGAACTTGTAATTCTCCTGCCTCAGCCTCCCAAGCTGCTGGGATTACAGGTGTGTGCCACTGTGCCTGGCGGTTTTATCATCATTTTATAGAAAGGCTATAATGACTCATCAAATTTGTGCAAGATCAAACATCTTATAAATTGGAAAGAGATGAAATTCAAATGTAGGTCTCTACATTTTCTACTACACCTGCCCATTTCATGGATAAACATCCACGAAGAGTCCTGGAAGAGAACTGTACTAACTTCAGGAAATTTTGCATTATTCAGACTACTCCAGAATCTAGGGCAGAATGTATCAGTTTTAATCAGCTTGAGCCAAACAGTCCATAACCTTGCTGGTCTTGGCTTCTGCTAATATTAAAAAATCTCTTATACTTATCTCTAGAATTATGAAGTCCTCAAATATCCACCTACCCCATAATTTTTCTTATTTAAATCAAGATGCATAGAATGATTACTGAATAATTTTGAAACATTTTAATAGATTTCATTTAACCATAGAAAATGGATTTAAAAGATCAAATTCCTACACTAAAATTATCATCACACAAAAAAACTGGAAAAATGCTTAAACCGAAAGCTCCCTGATAACAGTATGTTTTTCATCTACTGATTACCTCTCTGAAGCACTAGCTATGTGAAAAATGTGCTCATCTTCATTCTGTAATCGTTCTTTTCTCCTTCTTTCAATGTCATGTCGTAGGTCATTTGGATCTATTATTTTGACCAGAGTCTGAGGAATTTTGACAGAAGACAAACCATTCACATTACTGTTAGTTGCACAAAGACCATATCTAACAAGAACCTTATTTAAAAGTCCTAAATAAGTTATTTTGTACTCATCCTGCTATGGTAGTGTAAACTGAATCAAATTTTCTGAGACACAATTGACAATACAGTCAGAAAAGCTCCTAATATTAAACCAGGAATCCCACTTTGAGGATTCTATCCCAAAGAAAGTGCTGTCTACCTAAAAACATTCCAAGTACTATATTTAAAAATAACAAAAAATGGAAGTAACTTAAATGTAAAAAAAACTTTAAAGGGAAAGGGAAGAACAATTAAATAAATTATGGTAAATAACTCAAAAGAATAATGTACAACCATTTAAATTAATAAATACTATGTGGAAGTCAACATGGAAAAACACTCATTGAAAAAAATTGAAACTTTAACAGCCTCAATCATAAAAGGCCATGGGGAATTCAGAGATTTTTACATAAAAGGCATGTTATTATGAATTAAGTAAAAAGAAAAAACATACAAAAGTGCATATACTATGATAGTGATTATGTTAAAATGCAAGATGTAAGACTGCACGAAAAGATGATCAGATAATATTCTGTATCAAATGGTTGAATTACAGATGATTTTTTAAAAAATCCTTAAATTTCCTACAAGTTCACTGTAATACTTTGATGATTAGAAATTTTCTGAAAATATCATTTAATAGATTAACCCATCTAAGATTAATCAAATCTATAATTTCACATGTGAAAAACTTTATATATATTCTATTAGAAATGTATTAAAAATATCTTTTCTATAAAAACTTTTTACTTTCAATGAATAAATTAGCAGTTCTTTTACAACCTAACATACTTTTTTAAAAAAAGAGCTTTATAGTTATACATAGTAGTTAGGTTCATCCTAACAAATCACACACGCATGGAATTTGTTTTCAGTTCAACTTGAAACATTTTAAAACAAAAGCCACTTTTCTTACTCCTTGGCTAGTCAAGATAGTCTTTCTAATTAGTAAAGAAATGGGAGGTGGATGGGGGGGAGGTATTGGGTAGGAACCAAACACGGGACAGTAAAGAAATGTAACATTTCCATTATTTTGCTAGTTAATGTTCCACAGAATCTTTCAAACACTCTCCAGTAAACAGAAGGTCAATATCAAATGAAACTTAGTTTCTTTTCATTCATTTCATGTACAATTTTAAAATACTTTCCACATGACTGGAACATACTTTCTACAAGCTTCACAGTGTGGAGTTATGGAATAAATATTAAATGCTAAAATTTTGTTACAAAGCTATTATCATTAAGGATTGTCCCTTTTAAGGAATATTTTTGTCTTTTTGTCAGCATTCTTGTGCCAACCTGGCCAATGATCATAATCACTTGGAGAACTTTTGAAATTTTCTGGATCTCAACCCCCAATCACCAATCCCTTTTCCCATTAGTATACCAAAAAAAAAAAAAAAGATAATCTCACATCAAAACTTGTGTTCACTTACCTGATCTGGTTCATATACCATAGTTTGTTTACTCTGAAGGTCAGCCAAAGACATGTCTATTCTCCTAAAATAACAAAGGCATATTACAATTAAATAATTAGATTATGCACTGATACCTTGATTCTACTACTACAGAATGGAATTTGAAATAAAGCAGGTATATCTTGGAACAGGCAAAAGAAACCTGCTAACAGGTAATTTTTTCATCTATATGGTATATGGCAATTTCCCAAGAATCTAGATCTTGTGATGCACATTTCAGGGAAGTTTTAGGGGTTCTCAGATCACTAGCCTGTGTAACTTCAAACTTTATTCTGGTGATATATTGCATTCTAATATTGATTCAACTCAGCTCACAAGACAGGGTGCACCACCTGCTCGGACAAGTGCCAGCAGAAGACATGTTTTCATCCGGCTGCCCTCAGAACAGCCATTTTGATCACATGATTTCAATGGCTTGACAACTGCCTTTCATTCTTCCAGTGATAACTTCAGTAGGTAACTACTATAGACACAGCAGAATCAAAGTTAGGTAGGTAAATATTATCAAAATTCTATACATTTAAACAATGCTAGTCGTTGGTTTCAATGCAATCTATTCCATTGATGTGCACTGGCCCAGTACCTGCTTGGGTAGATCCTGTTTTTATGTCAGATACACATTCCTAGAGTCTCACAGAAGTCCAGGTGAGCAAGCTCAGGAAGCAACAGTTCTGAGGTTTACTCCCATGGTTAAATGGGAATATAGTAATCAATCATTACCTGTGAATTTCTGGATCTGAATTCAATTTAATTTCTTTTGCATCTGCATCATGAGTACTTCGCATTTTTGAGAAACGCTCATTTAGAGTAATGACAGGTGATGGAAAATAATTTGCTGAAAAAGGAAACAAATAGTTTTATCTCAATGTAAAACTGATTCCACTTAAAAGAAAAACATCCAATGTTTTCTTTTGAAAATACACAGGACCTAAACTTACTTGGCAGACTAATTTGCAGTGTTTGCATGTTTTTCCCAAGCCCAAGCAAGAATTAAAACATCTGATTTATGAATCCAAGGGGTTTTCTTCCTATCTGACATGTCTGCTTACTTATCTAGGGGAAAACAGTAGTGCTCTCAAAGTGAGGACCTTTCTACTCCAAGGTAAGACACTATTTGGGGAGCTCTACAGTTCAATAAGAGTAAAAATTAACTCCACAAACAATCCTGAAACATCACAAAAATTCTCACAATGCTAAATGCTATGTTTGCATACCACAGAAGGTCTTCCAATACAATTTTGTTTCAATTAACATTAACTGAAGTTCTTGAGGACATTCTGAAATCAGCTATGTTGCACAGACTTTTAATAGGTTAGAGAGAAAGAAAATACACATGCTCCATCAGAATGCTACTTAAGCAATCCTTTCCCGTAACTTACTGTTCCTGTTCTGAGACAATCTCCTGGACTTTTATGTTATACCAGCCCCCTTTCTGCAAATAATTACACTTGCTTTGGGTGAGAGGAGCTAGGGTTGAGAGGGTAACTGTTTCAGACAAACTGCATACTTTATTATTTATTTATTTTGAAGTGCTGGGGATCAAACCCAGGGCCTCACTCATGCTAAGCAAGCATACTACCACTGAGCTATACTCCCAGTCTAAAACTGAATGCTTTCAAGAAAATATATGCCTTAGCTTGAGGGATGCAGAGAAAATAATTCATTTTTGAAATATGTTTTATGAAGGTGAAAAAGATTAATGCAATTACTAAGTAGTATAAAATAAAAATTCTTAAAGCCTCCAGCTTATAACACTCACAATTGCCTTATTTTTGTGGCATTACTGGTAGAAGCAGTTCTATCACTGAATTTTCCAATTAATGGAAAGTTGCCAGAAGCAAAAACAAAACAATTTAATGCAAATCTTTAAAGTATTTATTATGCAACTCTCTGATGTCATAAAGTATGCCAAAGCAAACTGGAATATTTCATTTATCACTTAGCAATATCCTGATGGCACAAAGTCCCAGTACTGCTCTTAGGGGATTTTAAGAATATCACAAAATGATCAAGACTTCCCGATTGCTTGAGTTTCTTTTCTTTTTTTCTTCCCCTGCTTCTTCTTCCCTGTTAGGCTATTGGTTATTGCGTCTCACTGATTTCAGTATTGTAGTCTTTTTTCAGTGGTTGACCTCTCTTTTCTAACTTGTGATTTCTAATCTACTACCAGTCGAAACACAAGGTTATTGGAAATACATCATAAAGAACAACTATGCTGAGGCTGGGGCTGGGGCAGTGGTAGCACACTTGCCTGCTATATGTGAGGCACTGGGTTTGACTCTCAGGACCACATATAAATAAAATAAAGGCTTATCAACAACTGAAAAAAATAAATATATTAAAAAAGAACAACTATGGGGCTGGAGTTGTGGTTCAGAGGTAGAGCGCTCGCCAGGCATGTATGAGGCATTGAGTTTGATCCTCAGCACCACATAAAGTAAAATAAAGACACGGTGTTCACCTATAACTAAAAAATAAATATTAAAAAAAAGAGCAACTGGGCTTGAATGTATGCCTGATGATCTCTCCAACAGATTCCTACTTCATAATCTAACTTCAATGAAATATTACTATTGAAATATATCACAGGTATTTACCTATTATCTCTTGAAAAGCCAGCACATTAATTTTCTGTTATCCCTAATGTATGCGTAAAATATACCAACCTTTAACTTGATGGATTATTGTTATGATTTCCTGAGCAAATTCTCCTGTAGGTTTGTTTTCAGTATTCTGAGTTGAGTCAAGATGTTCAAACACTGGATGAAAGTTCCCACTTTTCCTGCCAACAGCAACCAAATCATGTGACATCTGTCTCTCTGTGGAATAGCTAGAAGAAGCCCTAGAATAATTTGCAAATGTTTAACTAAATTTGAAACTATTTTGCTAAAAAAAGAACTTACTAAAAATTAAGAGCTATAAAACTAAAAAGACATTTATCTTGTCATATAATTTAGTTATTAGATTATATGATATAAAACATGTACAATAATAAGTAGGAGAAAACAGCCATAGATAAGTAGTTCTGAGTTCAAATCTAAGATCAGTAAATATTTGTCACTTTAATAATAAAAGCCTCATAATTCTAAATGAAAAAAATTTTACTTCAAAACTACAAGGCATTAAAGATACTTAATATGCAAAAAATAATCAATAAGATTATTTTCTATTTCTAAATGGCCCTAACATTGTATATCCAGCAAGATTATACTATCTTAAAATACTACCACACTTTAAAAGTTGATGTCAAACATACAAACCTCTGACTTCAGAAAAAAAAAATTTATATTTCTACCAGTAATGAGAAGCTTAGAATAGTATTTCAAAATTGAATTCAATTCAAAATTGAATTGCTAAGCAATTAATCACAAAATCTCACCAAGCTCTTAGAAAATATTTTGGTTGTTAGCAAAGTTATGATCATTAACATCAATTATAGTGTTTGCCCTAAATGTACCCTTAAAGAAATGCTACCATTTATTATATAACCCCAGCGATTTTACCATTTTAATACCTTCTGAAGCTGTGTAACTTTTGTTAAGAGCTCTCCTGATCTCTAGGTACTACTATAAAAGTAAAGATTATGAAAAAAGCTAGTAATTATTGAGGGCTTACGAAATGCCAAACACGGGGGCTTAGAGTTTACTAACATTATCTCATTTAATCATTACAATTTAATCTTTATAATCGCCCTATGGAGAAGGTGCAAGGACACTGAGACAATGGATGTTGTTTTACTTTATATCCCAGAAGTTGAGTATTCAAATGAACATTAGTCTTCCAAGTTTCATAATGGGAAACTATACTTTCTTCCAATAATGCTGCTCTTAGCTTAAAACTATTCTTATATCCTTCATCTAGAGGCACTTAATGAATTAAGGAACTGTCTCATTATCTTATATTTATATCTCATATTAGACCCAAAACAGTACTAATCAGCTTACACCTATCTTATCCCTCTGTATATAGCTCAAATTCCTCCTGGCTCTTCCCAAAAATGAAGTTCATTGTCCAAAGATGAGATTTACAACTACTGGGTAAATAACATCAATTTTAGTATCTATATAATACTTATTCTATGTATAATATAATAAAGAATATATTCTTTCTGAGTATGCTAAAGACTGTGAAGATAAATCCAAAGGAAGCCTTGAACTATGTTTTAAATAATAGTAGCACCATTGTAATATATAATAACTTATAGCAAAAAGCAAACAGATGTTTGGGGGCATAGGTGCATACGTGCACATATCTCCTTATTTAAATCAGTCATGCATCCAAAATTGTCTCTGGGTCCTGAGGGGTTTACAGATATTCTTTAAAAATTTTAACTCCTGCTAGGTGTGGTGGTGTAGGCCTGTAATCCCAACGGTTCTGGAGGCTGAAGTAAGAGGATTGCAAGTTCAAAGCCAGCCTTAGCAACTTAGGGAGGCCCCAAGCAACCTGGTGATACCCTGTCTCAAAATAAAATATAAAAGGGGCTGGGGATTCGGCTCAGTGGTTAAGTGCCCATGGGTTCAATTTCAAGTACCAAAAAAAAAAAAAAAAAAAAAAGAAAAAAAATTAACTTTTCTAACAAAATGATTTTAAGTGCCTATTTATAACTCATCAGAGCAAAGGCTTCCATTTGACTTTCTATGTCCCCTGCTCCTCAGAGCAGCACTGCTGGAGAAAATTCCCTGCAAGGCAGAAACATGGAAAAGTGATTTGCAGCAGGTTGATGTCACTGCTGTAGTTTCTTGATTCGTTAGGAGGACTTTCATTAGAAAGCCCATTTCCCTTCTTTCCTCCTAATTTGCTGCAAGCTTCCCACTGTGTATCCGATAACTAGCTAAGAGACATTTACTGGTAAAAGCAAGAACAGCCTGTAACAGTTTCCAATAATAAACAATTGCAAATTCTTTCTGTTTAAAGGGGTTTAATGTTAAAAAGGCCTGTTCCATACCAAAAAAATAAAGCTTTTAAAAACATTTTGAGCCAGTCACAGGGGCACAGGCCTGTAATCCTAGTGGCTCAGGAGTCTGAGACAGAAGGATTGCACATTCAAAGCTAGCCTCAGCAATGGCAAGGCACTGAGCAACTCAGTGAGACCCTGTCTTTAAATAAAATACAAAATAGGGTTGGGGATGTGGCTCAGTGGTTGAGTGCCCGTGAGTTCAATCTCCAGTACCCCCCCCCCCAAAAAAAAGAAACAAAACAAAACAAACAAAAACACGTTTTATAAGCCAGGCATGGTGGTGCATATGTGATCCCAGCTACTGACAAGGCTGAAGTAGGAGGATCACAAGTTCAAGGCCAGCCTGGGGAATATTAGCAAGACCCTGCTCAAAATAAAATAAAAAGGACTGGGAATGGATATTGTCGCTGGGTCCAATCCTCAGTGCCACAAAAAAAAAAAAAAAAAAAAAAAAACCTAGGTGAAAAATAAGTTGTTTGAACAGAACTATTAAAATGGACTATCTACAAGGATAAATCAGTTTATAATTATTTTGCAGCCTCAGTTTCTGTTTCTGCCAAGAGGAAATCAGCTGATAAAGGTTTCCAGTTTATCACCCAGTAATTATCAAAACTTACTTGTGATTTATTACAGAGTAATTACTGGCAACAATTTCTCCTGTCCCCATTCCACACCCAACTCTCAGTCCATAAGAGTGCTGCAGTATACTTTGAAGTTATTTTTAATTCCTGAGATTTCATTGTTTAAACTTGTTAACATTTATCCTAGAGTTTTCTTGCTACAAGATTTTTAGTTAAAAATATTAAAATTTTCATTTTCTAGAAAACATATTTAAAATAATATAACCCCAAAATAAGTCTCTTTAAAACAATTATGGTATTTTTGCTACATTAAAAACCCTCTTCAGACTTGAAAATTTAAAATGTTCTAAGCCTCTACATTTGTAAATCTAATCATCTTTTGATTCATATTTTTCTTTTTACTATTTCTTATGGCACAGGTTGATTAACAAGTTAATAATTTCAGGAAATACCCCCAAAGCAAATAGTTGAGCTGAAAAGACAAAATGTTCTCATTTGAAATGCATTTGGACAGTTTTAAAATTAAAATACAGTTAAAAAAAAACTGAATTCTAATAACATTTCCAGTACTGGTCTCATTAAATCTTCCAAGTTCCTCTGTTCCCTCTCACTTTCCCACTAAATTCTCTTCTGTTTTAGGATACTTCCACTGATGTTCTTCCTTGTGTTGTACTTAATAGCTAAGGCAACCTAAAAACTGCAATTAAAACTTAATTTGCTATTGTCCATACTTAGGACTCATCAAAAAAAATCAACACATGGCAAAACAACAAAATCCCAAACCAACAGATTCCCCAGCCCTTTGGAAGCTTATAATAACACAATTCATATGAAACATACCAAGCTTTTCTTCAACCAGCAACTAACATCTTACATAGCATACTACTGTTCATAAAGCACTTACCCAATTGTGTCATTTGCTTTTGCCTCCCTAAGGACACTTTAGAAATTTTGGAGAGAAATGTTACAGAGACAATGACTTCCCTTACTTAGCATCTCATTATCTTTTTTCACAAAAGTCCTCAAACAAGCCTTGCCAGTTCCAATACCCAACTAATCCATCTTAGAGATGTCAATCTGGTCTGCCAAAACTGAATCATCTCCCTTTTCCTATTAGCTAATTCAGGTTGAGCAGCCCTAATCAGAAAATCCAAAATCTACAATGCCCCAAAATGACACCACAAATTCCTGTATCTGACCTCATGAGACAGGTCATAGTCAAAACATCCAGGCACACTAAAAATACTATAGAAAATTACCTTCAGGCTCTGATTATAAGGTGTATATAAAACATAAATGCAGGGGGGCTGGGGTTGTGGCTCAATGTTAGAGTGCTTGCTTCGCATGCATGAGGCACTGGGTTCGATCTTCAGCACCACGTAAAAAATAAAAGAAAGATATTGTGTCCACCTAAAACTAAAAAAAAACATAAATGAGGGGCTGGGGTTGTGGCTCAATGTTAGAGTGCTTGCTTCGCATGCATGAGGCACTGGGTTCGATCTTCAGCACCACGTAAAAAATAAAAGAAAGATATTGTGTCCACCTAAAACTAAAAAAAAACATAAATGAGGGGCTGGGGTTGTGGCTCAGAGGTAGAGCGCTTGCCTAGCATGTGTGAGGCACTGGATTCGATCCTCAGCACCACATAAAAACAAAATAAAGACATTGTGTCCCCCTATAACTAAAAAATATTTTTAAAAAATGAATTTCATGTTTAGACTAGGGTCATAACCAAGATATCTCATTATGTAAATGCAAATGTTCCAAATTTTAAAAAATCCTAAATCTGAACTACTTCTGTTCCCAAGCATTTCAGATAAGGGATACCAGACCTGCAGTATCAAATCAGGCTGGCAGTCATGACTTGCCTACCTTCTTAGTCTCCTTTCTCTCTGTTCCTTTTCAGAACCACCCGGCTCAAAGTTCCTGAGTATGTTTTTCTGCCTTCATTAACCTTTATTATATAAAATGTTTTTCACCTCATTTTCATGTACCAAAAACATACAAATTTTTGAAGCTTGGCTCACAGGTCAACTCCTGCACGAAGCCTTCCCTGAATCTCCCAGTCTGGTATCACCTGTTCTGCTGCTCAGCCATACACCACCCCATGAATCACTAGCTGTACTGTGGTATTGCCAACATTACCATATTCATCTATAAAACCAAAGGAGAAAAAAAGATCCTAATCTTATTCAGCCTATACTTTTGGGGTATCCCAAAAGGCTGTCTCAAATAAGATGGGGCCTCAAAAATACCCAGTGAATAAATAAATGATGAATGGAAAATGACTTGACCACTCTGAAATGAATGTTTCAGCTAAGAAGATAATAGATTTTAACATTTTATTGAGACCAATTTAATTTTTATTTTTAAGTTTCTTAGCTTACCTTTTTACATTTTTTGTTTAATTCTGATAAATTTAAATTTAAAATATTTAGTTCTTAAATATTTTGCATATGAATATGCAAAAGTTCAGAGAACTATATGAGCCTTCAAGTGCCTTGTCAACTCAGCTTCCATAGCTATCAACACATGGCCAATCCAAGCAAGATTAGAGAAACTTCAGGTTAATTGGGGCCAAAAGAGTATAGCCAGGTGACCTGCCCAATGTCACAGAGCTGCTCAGTGGCTCACAGGAAGACAAAAACCTATGAACCACAGCCCCTAACAGAATGTTTATCTCCCTCTATCAGTTTCCCTGAAAGACACAAAGAGAAGCTAGAGTAAAAACCAGAAATGAGGCTGGCTGCAGTGGCACATATCTGTGATCCCTGTGGCTTGGGAGGCTGAGGCAGGAGAACTGTGAGTTCAAAGCCAGCCTCAGCAACCCGGTGAGACCCTGTCTCTAAATAAAAGGGGTTAGCAATGATGGTGGAATGTGATGGACATCACTATCCAAAGAACATGTATGAAGACATGAATTGGTGTGAACATAATTTATATACCAGTAGAGAAATAAACAACTGTTCTCTGTATGTGTAATAAGAATTATATACATTCCACTGTCATGTATTTAAAAAATAAAATCAATAAAAAATGAAGTATTTCACTTAGTGAATACTAAAATAAAAAAAATAAAGGTTGGGGATGTGGCTCAGTATAAGGCTTTAGTTTTTTAATTCTATGTAAGAGCAAGTATCTCCACCTATAGGCTATAAGTTACCTTCCTTCAAAACTCTAGCTATGGGTTTTCACACTGTTCCCCATCTGTGCTGAATCTATTTCCTCAGCATCCTCTGGCACCTATCACCCACCTCATCTCTTTTCAGAATGGGGAAAGATCTGTTTGGGGCAGGGAGATCTTCTTTGTATCTCTTCAGTGGTAAACAAAGGACTAGATGCAAATGTGGCTGGTGTACTCACTCAGCTCACCATCAACTCTGATAGCCAACCTTCCTTATCCCAGGTGTCTTGTACCAACATCTCAGGAAATTAAAGGAGCCTTGGGTCCATCGGCGACAGCTTATTTTGCTCCAGAAACTAGAACTGCCTCCTCCTTCCCACTTTCTCCTCTCTCCTCCCTTCTACTTCCCTGACCTGACATGAAACCAGCAACTCACTTCATCTGCTTTAAGACTTCCAGATGTATACAACAATTCATGTTTTGGGTACACAATGATCTTAGTAGAAATGTTCATATTGTAACTCTCTAATTTACATTCTGAAACATATAATTATGACTCATATACCTTCTACCTCTGATAATGAAGTTTCTTACAGTGAGTCACTAGAATTCTTCTTTGTTAACAGCAGTACTAACTACACAAGGAATATTCAAGCAAGTGTCTACCTATTGCTGTTCTAGATACAAACTGGAATCTAGAAAAATCACTAGGCGATACCTTTTTAACCATACTAATAACTGACCAAAATTAATCAAACAGATACACAAAATATCTTAGTATTTCAAAAAAAGTGGATAAACTCTCTCAATTTTAACCATCAAATAAACCTTTCTCTGCACTCTATAATTATGATTATTTTAATCTTTCTTAACAAAGAAAAATCTAATTTATGTTAATAATTGAAAACATAAATTCTATTGAGGGCATTAACTACCTTTGTTTTATGGGTACTTCTTCAGTCCCCACGTAATTAAATCCAACCCACAAATCTCGTCCACAATTCATTCATCAACAAATAATTATAATCACAGAGAAAGCTTTTGTTGACTATGATGCTTTATCAAACTGAAAAGATGCACACATTTTTTCAGTTATTTATTCTTCAGGTCTCTGAACAGAGAGGTTTTGCAGTCAAGGCTCTTTATTACACAAGCCATCCTGCAGGCCCTGGGCAGGTATTCAAACATGTGCTGCCAAACTCCACTGATAGATGATATTTCATATAATTATAGTTTTTAAATTTAAAACACAAGTGCAGTAGCCTCCATTTTTGTGGAAGCTCATTTTCATGATCCATGATGATGATCAAGCTTCCATTTCTCATATCAAATTGTAAAATTAACTGTGCAGTATCTTGAATGAAGTTTAGAAAAACAAAACTCTTCAAAATTGGTATTTCTAGTAGTCTTCAAAAGTGACACAATTTATTAATTCATTTTAAGCACATATAAATATACATATTATAATATATTTTCTGTAAGTACAGGAATGTAAAGAAAGTATGCAGAAGGATGACTGCTATGCTTAACTTGAAGAAAAGAAACAGAAAATATTTTGTTTAAAAAATCAAGACCTTGGGTTTACCTCCCTTCCCACTCCCATCTTACTCTTTCCCATTTCATTTTCTTGTTTTGATTCAAATACAAATAGGAGTCAACTGTGAATATGAATGCACCAAATGAACATGGTCCATCCCTTTTTCATTGACATACTGGTAGTATATTAAGATAATGAACAGATTTAGCTGACATAGCTAACTGCAGCATCTTATTATTGTCAGAATCCATAAATGGAGATAATATTCATAATGGAAAAAAGCATGTGAGCTTGCCTTAGACTATAACCTATTACAATAGCAGTCTTTTTTTAAAGACTCATTAAGAGCTAAAGCAAATGTCTTATAAATAAGCATCTCCCCAGATTATAGCCTAATTTCCTCTATCTGGGAGAATCTAGTCAGTTAAGCCCAGTCATTTTGACAGGGTAGCAGGAATGACAATAAGTTCTCTGCCTCCTGGAGTCATGAGGGTAGGGGTGGGAATTTGAATCCCAGCCACTCTGACATAGTCACTTCATCTCTCAGGACTTTGCTTTCTTCCTCTATAAAACCAGGACCTTTTCACTCAAAAATTCTCTGAATATCAGGCAACAGGGAACACAGGCTCTGAGAAACTTCGCAAAGAATAGGTCTTCCTGAACTCCACCCAGCCTATCCCTAGAAAGGAAAACCTGGCAGCATAAATCCGTGAAGAGAAACAACTCCTCAGAATGCCATGCACCCAGGAAGCATCTGGAAATAAGATGTGGGAACATGCAGACATGAGATCACTTTCTATTACTAATCACAGTATTTATCCTCATTACAGGGCTTTTGGGAAAAAATCCAAGCAATCCTTTCCACTCCTTGATGGAACTCTAAGCACACTACCAATTCCATTTTTGAACTGCAAAAAGAAGTGGCAGAAACATTTATTAAACATCATAAAGAAAAATGAAGATAATACCTGAATGTATCTACTGTTTTCTTCACATCTACTTTAACTGTAAGTGATTTCTTCTTAATATTGACAGATGAGTGTTTCACATTGGAAAGTTTTTGACTTGTATCAGGTTGGTTACTGGAGGAGTTGCTCTCCTTTTTGAATTCCCCTTCTTTCTTTATTTTTTTCTTTCGTTTGTCATTACAGGGCTTCAAATCAACCTCATTTTTATTTGAATGAGTATAGGCCGCTGAGTCTTTCTTAGATGGTTTAAAAAGTTCTTTGACTTGCCCATCTTCAGTCTCTCTCCCTCTTCCGGCATTAAAACAATCTGACTCTCTACCTATAGGGCCTTTTTGAGAACTGTGTTTTCTATCTTCTTCTTTCAAGTATTTCTGATTTCTCCCATCAGAAAAGTCCTGGTCACCTTCTGAGAGCTTATGATGCTTGTGGCGATAGTCATAGGACACTTTGGTTGCTGAACTGGTCTCTGGATAGTCCCTCTCAGCATATCGGTGAGTTTGAGGTGCAAAATTGCGCTGATCTTTCTTTTCTTGGTAAGGTGGAGGAAAATGCTCAGGCTTCCACTTTGGGTTTCTGGCAGGCTCTCTGTTCTCATACCTCTCCACGTCTTTAGGTCTTTTTGATGTGTGTCCATATTTTCTGAAATCACGATCCTCAGGATACCTGTGTTGACATAAAGCAGTTTACACTTGCACTACAGAGAAGAAAGTAAGAATTTATATGTGTAGAATGTTGGGTAGCATGGCTTTAAATGTAGAATGCAGTTGTAAAGATAACCTATAATCCCACAAGCCTGCATAGAGGCACAAGGTAGTTATACAGGAAAATACCATCTTTTTAAACATTTTAGCTAACATGATTTACTCTAAAAAGAAATAATTTCACTACTACTACCAGTAGACCACAACTATATTACAATGCTTTTTATCTTTTTTAAACAAAAGCTTTTCAAGGTGGTTATCTTCAACCATAAAGTAAATAGACTTTTCACTTGAGGCTTTATATACCAAATTACCCAGGTTTAATGTTTTCCTATACCTCTTCTGAAAAGAGCTCCTTGTGTCAAAGTCTTCTGAGCCTCTTCTAGGTGACTGGGAATATTTTTCTTCTTGCATCCTCTGGTGCCTCAACTCATCTTCATGCCACTTCCCTTCAAACCTAAAGGAATCTGCTATTGACCTCTGAGGTGGTTTCCCTCTTCTCCCACTTCCTCTAATTCTGCGGTCATCAGGAATATACCTTCCTTGCATTTTCTGGGGATAACAATTCCTCTCATGCTCTATGTAGGGTACACCCTCTGAGTATGTGGGTATATACTGAGATCTTCTGTTACCATCCCCTCTTCCTGGTGAATACACTCGGTGAGGATTATATGTGTAAAAATTTTCTACAGAGTTTCTTATCTCTGGGGAAGGTGATCTATGTTCATAAGATCGGTAATATAGATTTCCACGAGGGGGAATTCTTTGTTTATTCTGTTCATGTTTCTCACTGTCCATTCTCCAAGCAACAGGCCTTTTCGGATATTTTCTATATTCACAGTCATAATGCCCATGAGAATATCTTTGCTTGTAGTATTCAAAATTTCTAGGTACTGGTGATAAAGACCTATGTAAACAAACACAGAAAAGTTTAGCCCATTTTAAGACAATAAACTCTTTGTCTTAATATGTCCTACCTAAAACATTTGCCTTTCCTAAAATTCCACTGATTCTCTTACTCAAACTAAATTCATCAATTTGCTACATATATGCATTTTGAATTGTACATAGAGGGGGGGTCTGAACCAATGTATTCCATATGCATGTCAAAATGGGCTGAGTACACCCATCCTACTAAAGCAGGACCAGCTTAGATTCAAGGCAAGATCTATTTTGGAAGATTGTTAATAGCAAAGTACTGGCAACAAAAAAAGATGTAGTGACTTCAAAGGGCTGATCAGCAAAAGCTTGTATCAGAGTTAATGGCCAAGTAAGAAATAAGCAGAAACAGTAGATCAACACGAATAAACATGTATGAGAGTGTCTGAAAAAAAATCAAACCCAGCCTCTGAAATTAAGTTAGATTCTAAGATCCAATGATGTTACAATCCAAACTCAGACACCTTATTGACCCCATAGTTTTCCCAACTGATTGTCTATTCTCTTTCCTAAAGCTGTTTCAATAAGAGACATATACTTAGCAGGTGGCAGGGAGAGGGGACAGAAAAGTCTTAAGACTTGAATCTTAGGTTCAGTTTTGCTTTAAGTACTTCTATCACAGATAAGTTGCTTTTCTTTCCCACTCCTGCTCCCTTATATATCAACTGAAAGATGTGCTGTTCAAACAGCTTGTTAACTTTGGTGAAAGTGTGCTTTAATGCAACTACAATAGTCTCCAGGGACAACACACGCCTTCTGTATCTACCTTCTCTAGTACCTCAGCCTTGCCAACATGAAGTCTTGTATTCCCACTGAGGAGGAAGGCTCCTATATCCAGGGAAACCAGTCTGGGTTTCCCAGCCTTAAAGATAAGAGAGAGGAACACCACTATCTGGAACACAATAAAATTCGATTTTGCACCCGAGGACATTAACCAATCTGACCTGCCTTAATCTCCTTTCTGAAGGTTTAATGTCTTCTCATCAATGAGCAAGCCTCTTTTGCAGTTTTTTTTTAAATCATCCCTTCTCAGAAGGTACCACAGAGTTGGAACAACCATGAGTGACCTTTTTCCTTTTAGTGACAAGTCTGTGTTTTCCATACATTAAAGGAAGCAGATCTATCTTATTTGGGTACCTACTGGGACATATATACTAGACTTGGCAATTATTTCCCTCTGGAGTCACCAAGCTGGATATATTGGTATTATTTCATTGAAACGAATCTCTGCCATCCAGCTGGCTATACCTCATCACAAGAAGTCTTTAAATGGAAGAGTCCATCTCTTTCACTACCAAGGAGAAAAGCTAGTAGTCTGAGGCAGAAACCTTGCAGACTGAAGAAAATACTCAAGATCTTAAAGTAACCCTTATTTCACATTAAAAACTGCTTTGAGACTATATTTTATATCATATTTTATTATATACCACCCCTATCTTCTGGAGGTTGCTAGAAAGGTTGTTATCATATTTGATTCTCCTAAAGGGACAAAAGAAAACTGGAGTCTGTTGGGGGAGAGTTCTCTAGTCTCTGGAGTTCAGCAAGGCAAGTCTTGTGAGCAGAGGCACTGACAGCTTTTGTTTCAAGGAAAACAGCCTTGGAAATAGAGACAGAGACTCCCTCAGGGACTGAGGGCTGGTTTGTTTGCTGCCCAGAATAATAAGATAATGTCTCCTCCAAGGTAAAGGCTGGGGGCTTTCCCTACAGCTATTCATAGGAAACTCAGGTTCTTCAGTTATGCCAAAATTCCATTGTTGGCAAAGACAAAGGGTAATCCCACTGCTTTGCATCATCCACCCAGCCAGCTACTTCACAGTGCTGGCCCTCAGGAGACCTAGAGGGTAGGGCGTACAATAGGAACTTAAAGCTCAAACTGCCTACTGTAGTATGAGTAATAAAGGCCTTTGTCTCTGACCCAGGAATGCTTTGTGGCAAGCTAACACACTAGCCTGCAGGTAGAATAAAATATCAGACCGTTTATAGTTGTTTTTTTCCCCTTTATAGTTCTTGACAAAGAAACCTAAGAAAAAATCCAGAATCAGGCTCTCCCTAATCAGGGTCTCTTGTGTCCATCATCACAAAAGGGTGAAACAAAACAACCTCTGTGATACCTTCCACGTTCAAATCCTTTGTTTCTTTGTATTCCCTTTTCTTTCTGAAGATCTTCCCCATTACAATTTGGTCTTGTAGATTACAAAATGAAAACTGTTGAAGAACTGATTGATTAGTCACTACACTGTCAAAATGAGCACAGTGGCCAAGGTACATTAACATGAAAATCTCGGCCTGCCTCTTATGTATGTGAATATGGTCCTTTTTAAAAGTCCCAAGACAAACTAACTGCATTTACTGATCTATGCCTTTGCTTTTCTTCTCCCCCTTAATCAGAATACTTGATTCACTCTTTCTACCCTTAAAAATTTTACCTATCCTTCAATGTCCAGCTAAAATTGTCACCTCTTTTTTAAAGACTTTCTTAGTTCCCTCCACAGACACAGAATTATTCTCTCCCTGTAGATCCAGAAGGCTTTGTCCCATTCCTACCGGATCATAGCTGGCTATCATGTCTCTCCAGCCAGCCTGTATACCTGCTGAGGCCACTGAAGATGAAAGCCCCAGAACCTGGCTGTAGCAGATGTACAATAGACATTGAACTGTTCCAGTCTATGCATATATATACTGTTGATACTACCCACCAGAAAAGAGAGGAGTTGAAATACATTTGGGCTCTTCAAAACTATTATTCTGCCATGAAGAAGAAACTAGAACCTCCTTATTTTCTGATTCTACATTTCTTCAAACACATAGATTATAAAAAAATAAGATAAAACGCACATAGAAGAGTTCTGAACCACACGTGAATTTTTAAAAAATGTAACACTCTCAAAGATGTTTCTCACTCTCCCTTGCTGTGACCACTCCATTTCTTTTTATTATAAATTAATTCTAGATGCCAATAATTAAATTGTCAGCTCCTAGAAACTAGAAATACAACCTCTTCCATGATAAATCACCTACTGTGAATAACCAAGTCCCATGAGTTTATTTAAATAGATTTTAAACCAGTACTGGTGAATTTCAAAGTCATAGCTACATCCCAACTCCAAGTTGCTTACTCTGCTAAACTAAGAACTGCTCACCTGTGTTTCCACCTGGGCGATCTAGATCGTGACCGTGCCATCCTTTGACACGTGAGCCACTATCCACTTTTTACACTGCAAAGAAACACAATATTAGCAAGTTTATATAAATGAGCCTGCAATCTGTTCTAAAACATGGTGAATGCGACCAAGAAAAAGTTACTTAAACCCTTTGTGCTTCTGTTTTCCCATCTGTAAAATAGGGATGATAATAATAGCACCCACCTTATTGGAATGCTGTCAGGATAAAATGAATAAAATCAAGGATCAGCAAATTTTCTGTTAAGCACCACATTGTGATTATTTTAGACTTTGTAGACAATTTAAGGTCTTTGTGGATTTGTTCCTTCTCTTTTAGAAAAAATAACTCCTTAAAAATGTAAAGCCTAAAAATGCTTGCCTAGCATGTGCGAGGCCGAGTTCGATCCTCAGCACCACATAGAAATAAATAAATAAAGGTAATGTGTCCAACTACAACTAAAAAATAAATATTTTAAAAAAATGTAAAGCCATGGAGCCGGGGCTAGGGCTGGGGGTCAGGGATAGTGCACTTGCCGGGCATAGTGAGGCACTGGGTTTGAGTCTCAACACCACATATAAATAAATAAATATCTATTAAACAACTAAAAAAAATTTTTTAAAAATGTAAAGCCACGACTAGACCACTTTGAGATGTGCTGTAAGTATTAAACACATCTAATTTCAAAGACCTGGTTAAATACATCATTAATATATTTCTAAATATTTATCATGTTAAAATTATTATTGGGGTATATTGGGTTAAATATGCTATATTGTTAAAATTAGTTTAAAAAATAAAAATGTAAAAATGATTTTTAGCTCAAAGATCAAAGAAAAATAGGCCTGGCAGGCCAAATTCACTATAATTTGATGACCTCTGAGTTAAATCATGAAAAAAGGTTATTATGTTTTGCACATACCAACTGCTAAGTATTCCAAAAAGAAGAAAAAATAAACCCAGAGTTCCTCTATTTGAATACAACCATTACTACCTTCCTGTCTTTTGCCATGTACATAAACACTTCATGTAATCACAGTCAAAATGTTTAGAGATGCATGATAATATATCCTATCCTGTTTTTAAATTGCTAGATTACAAGAACTACAATTCTTAATTATAATACTCAATTGCTGCCTAATTTTCCAACAGATAAACATACCCAAAACTTAATTAGGCATTACTAGACATTTAGTTTACTTCTGATTTTTTTTCCTACGATGTTTCTTCTTCTTCTCTTTTGGGGGTGGGTGCTGGGGTCTGAACCCATGGCCTCACACATGCTATGCATGAACACTACCACTGAGCTACATCCACAATCCAAATAAGTACATTTTAAAAGTCACTTCTAAACTGGAATTTTAAAGCAATCTTCAGTATTTAAAAGAAAATGATCACTTCAGGAACTGAATTTTGAAAATACATAATTAGAGTATAATTTTCCATACTAGCCATTATTTATATCTCACTTCTGATTTATAATTAAGTAGTTCCCAACTTAGTGGCTCCAGTTCCCCAGTAGCTTTCAAAATCGTTGCCATGCATCCATGAATAATCATACAGTCACTATGCACAGACTACGGAATGGATAACCATACGTCTCATATATTATGTACCTCTATGCTGCAAATTTCTGAAGATACTGTGGTAATTATTAAAATATAAATAACTTGGCACTGTAGGTTTTCCACCAATACAAAAAGTACAACTGTTATTGTGTAAATATCAGTTTAAAAAGATGTGGGGCGTAGGATAAATGGAAAATACTACGATAATGGTGAGAAAACAAAATATGGGGAGGTTGAAATTTATTTTCATCTTATTTTATTAACAAAATAATCTATTCAGATATAATTCCAATGACAAAAATTTAACCCATTTGAAGTATACAATTCAGTGGTTTTTAGGATATTCACAAAGATGTACACCATTACATAGTCTAATTTTAGAATATTGCATACCCACAAAAGAAATCCCACTAGCAGTAATTTTACACTCCTTTCCCAACTTGGCCCCTGTCAACCTCTAATCTACTTTCTATTTCTATGGATTTGCCTATTCAGGAAATTTCACATAGGTACCTCCAGGTACCCTACTAGTCTACCACACCATAGAATCACACAATATGTAGTCTTTTGTGACTGGCTTCTTGGCATAACATTTTCAAGGTTCATCCATGTTACAGCATCTATCAGTACTTTGTTTCTTTTTATGGTTGAATAATATTCTACTATATGGATATACCACATTTTGTTCATTCATTCACCTTTAATTATACATTTAGGTTGTTTCCACCTTTTGGCTATTATGAATGATGCTTACATAAATACTTCTGTACAGGTTTTTGTGTGGACATATATTTTCACTTCCTATATATCTAGGAGTGAAATTGTCTGGTCATATGGTAAATTTGTTTTTAACTTTTTCAGGAAATACTAAACTTTTCCAAAGTTGCTGTACCATTTTACTTTCCCACCAGCAGTTATGAGGTTTCTAATTTTTCTATATCCTCACCACCACTTATTATTATATTTTTAATTATAGTCACCTGTGTTAGTCCATTCTCCATCACTATAACAAGACCCGAGATAACTAACTTACAAACTGAAAAGGGTTATTTTGGCTCATATTTTGAGGGTTTCCTATCCAAGACTGGGTGAGCCCATTGCTTTGGGCCTCTGAGGACATGAGGACAGCAAGAATAGGAAGCACATGATGGAGCAAACTGTTGATCTCATGGCCAAGAAGCAAAAGAGGTTCCGCAATGCCCTTCAAAGACACAACCCAAATGATGGAAGGAGCTCCCATTAGGCCACACCTCCTGTGGGTTCCATTAACGTACAATAAATAGTGCCACCCTAGAGACTAAGGCTTCAACACATGGATCTTTGGGGGACACTAAACTAAACCAAAGCACCATCCTAGTGCGTATGGCATGGTATCTCAGTGTGGTTTTGATTTGTATGTCCCTAATGTCTGATGGAGGGTAACCTTGAAATATGTAAGAAAACTATGAAATTAATCATACTTCCTTTATTTTGATGTAGTAATTTCAGTTGCACTTACACCTAATTGCTTTCTACCTTTTTTCCTAGCCCTATGGGACTCTTTTCCTCCAGGTACCCTACTAGTCTACCACACCATACTACTTGCTTTCCTGATCAGGCATGCTGTTCCTACCACACAGATGGCCTTGCCTCAGTCTGTCTAACAAATTCCTATCCTTTCAGGACCACTTGATCATCATCTCCCCTGGGATTCTTCCCTGGTTCCCCTGTACCCCTGCCTAATTTCTTTTGCCTTGGGAATTCTGGGTTGGTTCTGTGATGATTTTAATACACTATTTTTTAATCTTTATTTTATTTACTTATTTTTTATGTGGTGCTGAGGATCGAGTCCATGCATGCAAGGCAAGCCCACTACCACTGAGCTACAACCCCAGCCCTAACACACTATTTACTTACATAATTTTATTTATTTCAATAGGCAAAAGACTCCAAATAGCATACCACAGAATACAAAATTCAAATAGCCCATCTCATAGATGGACAACCTCATTAGTAATTGGGAAAATGCCAGTTAAGATCATAGCCACTTCTTGCCTGTCAGATTGACCAAAAAACTTTTAAGTTGTTTTTCTGGAGCATTGGAAAGGATATAAAACAATAGGAATTCTCATATACTCCTAGGACAAATATATACAAGTATAACTAGTTTGGAAGCAGTATGGTAATATCCAATAAAGTTGAACATGCCCATATCCCACAACTCAGCAATTCCACACAGGAAGAACCTTGGAGCAGTGGTTGTCAAACTTTATAGTATGCACTCAAATTACCCAGAGGGTTGATTAAAATACAGATTTCTGGGCCTAAAGTGGGCCATGATTCCAGCAAGTTCCCAGGTGATGTGGATGTTGCTGCTCCAGGGACTATAGAATCACTCACTGGCTTGGGGGCAAAAGTGGAGATCACTGAGGAGTAATGTTTACAAGTCATATTTATTGCATGTGATAAAAGAAGTATCCCTAAGAATATTTCCTTTTGGATAATATTAAAATTAGCTTTATAAAATTCATACTACTCAAAATGGGTAATTTTTATTGCATATAAATTATACCTTATAGCTGTAAAAAAGTAGCTTTGGGGTGATGAAACTGTTCTAAAATTAAGATAACATATTATGGAAATGGTTGTAAAACTGCAAAAACTACCAAAGACCATTTGATTGCTCACTTTAAACAATATACTATATCTCAATAAAACTATTTTAAAAATATTAACTTAGCAATTATTTAGTACACATCAGTTGTAACAAAAAGTACTGGTTCTAGAGATTAATGGATAAGAGAGACAGATTAATTTAAATGTACAGCCTGAACTAAGAATGGTTTTTAGATTTTTAAAAGGTCGAAGATGACCATGAAGATGAAGATAAAAGAAGTAGCAGCAACAGAATTGTATATGGCTCACAACACATGAAGTATTATCTGGCCCTTTTGAGAAAAAGTTTGCTGATCCCTGATTTAAACTTAACATACTTGGGCTGGGGATGTGGCTCAAGCGTTACCACGCTCGCCTGGCATGCGTGGGGCGCTGGGTTCGATCCTCAGCACCACATAAAATAAAGATGTTGTGTCCACTGAAAACTGAAAAATAAATATTAAAAAAAAAACAAACTTAACATACTTGTTAAAAGCAAATTTAATCAAAGGGACCAGAGCTTTAAGAGAAAACAGCCAAGATTTGTAACTTGGAAGAAGATGTCAATAACAAAGAGTAAATTCAATGATATTGCTACTGAAGATAAACGGGCAGGAGCAGTGAAAGAAACCTGTGTGCCCCCGAATGTAGAAAGGAGACACTTGGACAGCAGAGTCATGCTTTCCAGGAGGATACTAAAGAGGATGCATGTGCTAAAAGAAGACAACCTTACCAGGAGGACACTGGACATCCACCTTCCCAGCTGAAGGACCCAGCTCCACCAATTCACTTCCTCCCACAATATCCCTTTCCCTTCTCCATTATATTCCTTCTATCATCACACAACCTTGCAT